GATGTAAGAAGCCAGGGACTTGTTCTGACCTAGGCTTCTCCAGCAGCACGAAGCTGAGTCCTCGTCCCGATAAGCCCCTTTTATTTAATGTACAGTGAATTCCTCTCCAGCAAACTCTTTCCTCTTTCAAGAGGAAAGTCTTTCAAGATCGTTCACAATTACTGACCTTTATCAGGCTTGGAGAGTGGCCAGGCCGATATCTTTCAGACGGCCGGCAATACTTGGCAAGAATGCAGGAATGAACTAATTGTCTCCTGCAAACTCCACTCCTCTTTCGCTCCTCTTTTATTCCCTCTGGGAGGGGCCCTTCATCCTCCACCTGTGGCCTTACTCCCAAGTCGACCCTTGTTCTTTCACTGTTCCCTTTATCTGGCAACTCTGCGCAGGCGCACACTGGGAACAGGTTCCAGCTGTTCATCTGTCTCACTGATGTCTGACTCCAAAGGCAGCTGATAATTGGCATACGGCCATGGCCCCCTCTCTGCCTCTGATGCAGAGCCCTCATCAGATCCTTCCCCAGACTCCAGGACTGGTCCATGTTCCTCCCCAACCTCCTCACTATACGAATCTGGGCCACAACAGAACTAATCTAGTCTTTCCCTGAGCAAAACAAGCTAACCCACACTAAGCAGAACACTAGAATTATTCTTTCTTTTCAACCCAAAAGCGCCACAACAAAGAGACACTCTCTTCCCATTAAGAAGGTATGGGCCCAGGTAGCATGCTACTTTTTGGGAGAAAACTACTACCTGGTTCTCATCTTTGGTACTTACATAATTATCCTCCTAGCAGGAAGAAAGTCACAAACAGCCCATCAGAGATGCTTATCTGTTTCGCCCACACAGAGGAGGAAAGGAGGAAATCTGCCATCACAAATGGCCTTGTTTGACACTGGAAAAGCAGCCATCTTGGCTGACACAGAGACAGAGGGGGGGGGGAACACAATGGATCCTTTACATAAGCATACACAGCGAGCGGAAATGCCAAGTTTATAGTTAAGGCAGATGATCTGAGAATCCGTTATAGCAAACGGATTGGGGGTGTGCAATGTATTTACCCGGATGCGGATTTATTTAATTTTTTTGTACCACGTGCATATTTTACTACTGAATTTTCCTTTCATCTATTTTACTCTGGACTTATATCCTGTACAAATGAAAGCGAATATATGTGTCCCGGGATTTTTTGAGGGATACTTGATACTCTCTGAGCTTGCTTATTTTCCTGCAGATGTTTTATTACCCAAACATCATCAGTTGCCGGTAAATACTTACTAGTACTGACAATGTTACCTAGTTGAGTAATGAAATGTCTGCAAGAAAACAAGGAAGCTCAGAGAGCACCAAGGACTTCCACAATGCAGCACCATTGAGAGTGTCGTGACATACGGCATTCTCGCATGGTATGGGGAGCAGCTCTGTAGCGGACAGAAAAGCTCTACAGAGAATCATTAAAACTGCCCAGAATATCATCAGGCTCCAGCTACCAGCCCTGGACGACATCTTCGCATCTCACTGTTTGAGGAAGTTGCATAACATTCTCCGAGACTCTTCCCATCCTGCTTACAATCTTTTTGGACTGTTGCCTTCTGGCAGAAGATAGAGAACAATTAAAACTCGGACCACACGTTTTCTGAATAGTTTTTATCCCAGAGCTATAATTGCACTCAACCATGAACTAAAGGGCCACCATCAGTGAGCTGTTGGACAGAATTACTTGCTCTGTTGTGTGGATATTTGGGTGGTTTAGAGGTGGGGAATTTGTGGTGGGCGGGGGTGTGTTTGGGGATTGTTATGTGTATTGGACCTGGTCGTTGGATGTTAAGTGAATTTCGTTTTATGGGTATACTGTGTACAGATGTACAATGACAATAAAGTTATTTATTTATTTATTGAAACACCTGGATGGTATAATATAGGGCAGTGATGGCGAACCTTTTCGGCATCGAGTGCCAAAAAGGGAGCATGAGCGCATGCAAGCGTGCTCCTCTGGGACGCGACCCGGAAGAGGAGCTGCCCAGGGGGCATGTGCGCAACGGAAAATACACTTCCGGTTTCCAGCGGGTACATGCGCACTGGCCAGCTAGACTTCCGGTTTCTGGTGCACATGCATGCGTGACGATCAGCTGACTGGCGCACATGCTCACGCCGGAAAATGGAAGACCAGCTCTTCCAGATTCCGGCAATGCCGCACACACAAAGGCAGTGGTGGGTTCCTCCCGGTTCTCCCGAGTCGGTAGCGGTGACGATATGATGTCACCGAACCGGTTCTGCCCCCCCCCGCGCCCACCCCCCACCCCCCGTATTATTCTTACCTTTTATTTGGCCCCACCCCCAATCTATTGCTGCCTCCTGAGTCCCAGCTGATGGCTAGAGGGAAAAAAACTGTTCAAACTCTTGCCACAGGGCTTCAAAGGGCCGCCCTACAGCTGATCAGTGTTAAAAGAAAACAAATGAGTAGACCGGTTCCTGCAAAAATACATGAGTAAACCAGTGCCTGCAAAAATAAATGGGTAGACCAGTGCCTGCAAAAATACATGAGTAGATCAGTGCCTGCAAAAATAAATGGGTAGATTGATATAGCTCTGCAAGCAGTTAAAAGCCTGGTAGACCAGTACCTCTGCTAAATCCTAAATAAGTGTCACATGACCATCAAGCCATGCCCACAAAATAAGCCACGCCCATAGAACTGGTAGTAAAAAAATTTAGAACCCACCCCTGCACAAAGGTCAACTGATGGTTGCACACACATGCATGCCAGAAACCCAGAAGAGGAACAGGCGACGCTGCGCGTGCCAGCCAACATGACTCCATGTGCCACTTCGGACACGTGTGCCATAGGTTCGCCATCACAGACATAGGGTGGGTTTTTTTTCCCCATTTGTTTTAGATCAAAAGCACTGAAGAAAGGGCTGACCTGCTCAACAACAACAACATGTCATCTAACGTCCTGACTGGATCTTTCCCATGGGCCGAGGGAAGAGTGCGTGTTTCCGATCAACTTTCAACACACATCGCCTCAAATTAGATTGACAATACAAGGGGAGCGACTGACAGGCTTTGCAGAATTTTAATCCTCGGGTATGCCGATGTTTTCACTGCGCTCTCTCCTGCTGCTTTTCACAGACAGAATTTTAATGAGCCCCAAGCCCAGAGGGTGTGCAAAGGATGGCCAGCCGAAAGGCAACAACTTTGCACCTCAGGACTTACTTATGAAATTTGAATGCTGTCCTGTTACGGGACCATGGGGATGCGACAACATCTAAAGGTGCTGGTTATCACCTTTAAAGCGCTCCATGGCATCGGGCCTAGCTATCTTCGAGACCGCCTGCTGCTACCGACGGCCTCCCATCGACCCGTGCGCTCCCACAGAGAGGGCCTCCTCGGGGTGCCATCAGCCAAACAATGTAGGCTGGAGACCCCCAGGGGGAGGGCCTTCTCTGTGGGGGCACCCACCCTCTGGAATCAGCTGCCCCCAGAGATAAGGAGAATCCAAGACCTCAATGCCTTCCGCCGTGCCCTTAAAACCCACTTTTTCCAGCAAGCCGGGCTGGCTTAAGAAGAAATTTTAAATGTTTTAATTGGTTTGTATTTTTAATTTTGGGCCAAATTTATATATATTTTAATTGTTTTTTAATATTTGTATTTTATGTTTTTTAATTCTGGCTGTACACCGCCCTGAGTCCTCAGGGAGAAGGGCGGTATATAAATTTAAAATAATAATAATAATAATAATAACAATTGTTAAGTGTGAAAAACAGTTGTAAGTCTCTTTTTTCACTGCCAGCGTAAATTTCAATGGTTGCTAAATGAATGGCTGTAAGTTGAGGACCACCTGGATCCCATAACTGTTTGCAGAAAGATACAATCTGGGTCTTCCTTTTGGGCTGGAGTTTTGAAATTACAGTGGTTCCCTGTGAAATTACTGTGTTTCCCCAAAATTAAGACCCTGTCTTATATTTTTTTGAACCCCGAAATAAGCGCTTGGCCTTATTTTCGGGGAGGTCTAATTATTTTGGCACAAGTGGAGCAAAGTGGGGATCCTCTTGCCATCTTACCTGATTTCCAGCTCCCTAACCCTAACCAGAGGAAATAGCAGGTACCAGCTGTGCATGCATTTAAATATTTTTAGGGAGTGCTTATTTTAGCAGATGTGCTCAAAAGCCCGATTGGGCTTATTATCAGGGGAGGTCTTAATTTCGGGGAAACACAGTACAGTAAGCAAAAATTTGGGATTCAATTGTGAGTGTTCGGCAAGGACTACCTGCATAATTTCTCCTTTACTTCCTTGCCGCTTTTTTATGACTTATAAAACTAGGTACTGTGTTTCCCTGAAAATAAGCCCTCCCCGAAAATATTTAAGCACATGTGCAGCCGGTCCCCACCATTTCTTCTGGTTAGGGTTAGGGAGACACAGCTGGAAATCAGGTAAGACAGCAAAAGGAGCCCCGTATTGCTCCACGTGCCCCAAAATAATAAGACCTCCCCGAAAATAAGGCCAAGAGCTTATTTCGGGGTTCAAAAAAAATATAAGACAGGGTTTTATTTTCAGGGAAACACGGTAGATCCCCACCTCCTAGCCCTTTCCCTCCTATCCTTGCCACTTCAAACCCTTATGTCACACATTTAACCTCTTAAATATAAGGAGCAAAGTCTGTTATATCAAAGGCTTACTCTACAAAACAGCCCAAAGTAAATATTTACTTAAAAATAGAACAAGGGATGCATTGGCCAGATGACAGCAGAGCCTGCTCCAGTTAAATTGTCTCTCAAGCTATCACCAACTGGTTTTCAGGAGCAGTATTTAAATTAGTATGTGATATGATTTAATACAGTGATATGATTTAATACATTACATTTTTAAAAAAAATTAATGCAACAGTAATACCAAAATTAGCATCATTAAAAGAGGGCTGATATCAAGGCAGAATAATGATACTACTGAAAAGAAGAAAAATGAATTGAATATTAAATAGAAAGTGGATAATTGTCAGGAATTACCTCCGAGAAGCATTTTTTTAGACATTCAGGGACTTTTCCATCAATTATGAGAAGCATCCTCTCCATCTCTTCACGGGCGACATGGCTCCCAGATTCATTAGAAAAGAGGCTGAAAATATCTGAGAGAGAAGACAAAATAATGTACAGAGAACACAATAAGTATTTCTGTGCAAGTCAGAAATGGTGATAGAGCTGGTGACGTCCATTATTTCGTATCATTTTAGAAACAGGAATAGTTACACTCTTAAAATCTTTTTTTTTTTTACAAAAAATCTACACCATTGTTCTTAAAGTCATCCGATATTTCCATTGCAAAGGGCATGACATTTTATGTAAAATAAGTATCACAAACTATGTTTAGATCAGTGTTTCCTAACCTTGGCAGTTTGAGGATGGGTGGACTTCAACTCCCAGAATTCCCCAGCCGTCCCACTTGGTCAATAGAAAAGGAAGACTCCCAAAGCCATGGCAGTTGAAAGCATGTTTTATTAAGGCCAAGTGGTTACAGTGGAGCGAAGCCAAATCTAGCATTTCACGGCCAAACCAAACAGTTAACTTTCCCCCTTGGGATCCGTCTTCCCCCCAGTTATCGGTGAGTGACTAATCGTATTCAAACTAATTGTTTTGTAACCGTCTCCAGCTACGAGGGGGCTTGGAGAGGCTGCATTCCATTGGACTTGACCTTGGAACAGTTCTCTGCTCTCATGGGACTGTTTTCAGGCTTTTGGTTTCCTTTTTTTGCCCCCCCCCTTCATCCCAACCTATAGCTCCCCCCCTTCGCCCCTTACTCATGACAGCCTGGCATCTAGCTAAGCAGGGCTGGTGCAGTGGGATGGCAGGTCTGCCAAGGACTCGTTTTGGTGTCAGAAGTCTAAGCTGGTGATGCTTTTCAACCAGGCTCTTAACTGAAATGAATAGGATGGGATAGGGATAGCGATAGAAATGGAGTGGAGTGGAGTGGAGTGGAAGGGAAGGGAAGGGAGGGGAGGGGAGGGGAGGGGAGTGGAGTGGAGTGGAATGGAAGGGAGAGGAAAGGAAGGGAGGGGAGTGGAGTGGAAGGGAAGGGAAGGGAGGGGAAGGGAGTGGAGTGGAAGGGAAGGAAGGGGGAGGAGAAGGGAAGGGAAGGGAGGGGAAGGGAAGGGAGTGGAGTGGAAGGGAAGGAAGGGGGAGGAGAAGGGAAGGGAAGGGAGTGGAGTGGAAGGGAAGGGAAGGGAGGGGAAGGGAAGGGAGTAGAGTGGAAGGGAAGGGAGGGGGAGGGGAGGGAAGGGGAGGGGAGGGGAAGGGAAGGGAAGGGAGGGGAGGGGAGGGGAGGGGAGGGGAAGGGAGGGGAAGGGAAAGGAAGGGAAGGGAAGGGAAGGGAAGGGAAGGGAAGGGAAGGGAAGGGAAGGGAACAGAACAGAACAGAACAGAACAGAACAGAACAAGAGAGTTGGAAAGGACCTTGGAGGTTTTCTAGTCCAACCTCCTGCTCAGGCAGCAAACCATATATCACTTCAGGCAAATTGAGCTACACAGCTGTGAAAACTCCAGCTGAGCTGGTCCACCTGTCTCTCCTGGCCTTCTCTCTCTTCCAAATATGACTGGTACTTATCCCAAAGGTGCTTTTTTTCCAAAAGCTCGACTGGACTTTCTTAGAGGTCCCCCCCCCCCACTTTGAAAACATTTCCCTTCTCATCCAAAAATCTGCTTGGAGTTCTTCTTCTTCTTTTTCCAGTTCTTCTTCAGTTCAGAACCGAGGAAGCTTCTTGGGTGAGAAGGGAAACGGTTTCAAAGAAAAAAAAGCAAGAACGTCCTATTGCCCTTTTTGGGAAAAGCCACCATGGGACAACCATGACCTGGTTGAGAAGTGACTTGATACTTACATTTGGCTTTCTCTTCATCTCGGCCCCTCGTCAGCAGGACTAAGCCCACTATCAGGTTATTGAAATGTAGGCCTTTCGATGTGCCACCAAAAGAACAGTATATGACCTGAAAGAAAATAGGAGAAAAATGTCAATCTGGGCAAGATCAGAAGAGGAAACTCTCTGGGCCCTCCTGCGTGACCCGCTGCGGAGATCAAAAACAAAAAGAGCTTAGAAGTCATTCTGCTGAATCTATTGTTTACGGGTTTTAAACGGGGGGCTGCAAATCAAGATGACCCCATTTCAAACCCGGCCTGTGTCATGAACTCACCAGGTGGGCTTCGTCAAAGAGCTTCCCCTTTGTAATCTGGGAAGAAAAGGAGGCCAGCCTGCTTTAAAAGGTGGTGAGCTCATCACCTCATAATTCCCCTTGAAGCATTTTGTATATTTGAAAGCATTCGGCCAGCGTTCACTTGGATGAGTGGATTGGCCCCAATTCAGTGGCCTCTGGTGCTCAGGAAGGTGCTGTCCACTTCGAAACGCATCTAGGCTGCTGCGGCCATCTTTTCATTTCTCAGCTTGCCACCGTGTGTGTGTGTGTGTGTGTGTGTGTGTGTAGAGTAGGGGTGTCAAACTCAAGGCCCGCGGGATGCTTAGATCTGCAGGGCCGCCCTGGAAACAGCAAAGGACTAGCCCACAGTGCAATGGTGAAATTCAATTTTTTTTACTACCGGTTCTGTGGGTGTGGCAGGGGAAGGATACTGTAAAATCCCCATTCCCACCCCACTCCTGGGGGAAGGATACTGCAAAATCCCCATTCCCACCCCAGTCTGCGGCCAGCCAGAGGTGGTATTTGCCGGTTCTCCGAACTACTCAAAATTTCCGCTACCGGTTCTCCAGAACCTGTTGGATTTCACCCCTGCCACAGTGCCTCTACCAGCAAAAACAGAGCCTGGGCAGGCGGCAGCCACTCCAACCTCCGTTTTTGCTGGCAGAGGGCTGCAGGAGGTCGTCGCAGCCGAAAACGGATCCTGGACGAACAATTTGACATCCACACTGGCCACGCCCATCCCGCCACCCCTAGATTAAACACAACCCTAATGTGGCCCTCAATGAAATTGAGTTTGACACCCCTGGTGTCGAGGCTTGGAATGTCAGACCAGACAATAACTACAGATTGTCCCGTGGGAACCAAGGTCATCTCAACAAGTGCTGGTTGGAGACTGGAAGGAGTTACCGGGGAGATGCCAGAACACCTGATTGGACAATGTAACCTGTGACAAGGGGAACATCCATTCTTTAATTATATGAAAACCGCGGGACATATTTAGAGGTGGTTCCAGGCGGCAGGGATAAAACGCGGCACGCGGAGGCCAAAAACACGATGTGCGGAGGCGGTGATTGGCAGCAATGTGCTGTGGTGATTCCTGCAGCCTGGAATGGGTCTAAAATGGAGCGTTTGGAGGCCAAAAACGCGAGGCACGGAGATGGCGATGGTCTGTGGCAATCCCTGCAGCCTGGAACAGCTGATTGGGGGTATTCTGGGAGGCCGATCCACTCGCCAATCAGCTGCTTGTGTTGAATCAGGCTGTGATAATGTGCTGAAGCTGACTAGGCTGTTTGCTATTTGCTGCAAGGATGCTAGCCAGATGAATACCAATGGATGCTGGTAGACAGAGGCATGATTTTTTTTTTCTTGTTTTCCTCCCCAAAAACTAATGTACGTCCTATACTCTGGAGCATCTTAAACTCCAAAAAATCCAGTAAATGCCACACACAAGAATAGGCCAAAGCACACACTCTGCTAGAGAGAACATCCCTAAGGTTGGGCTCCAGTATGACTCCGAAAGTTCGGAAGACAAAACCTCTGGTCCCGGTGATCGACCCAGATTGGATCCTGCAACATTATACTGGGACGCATAAACGTATTCGCCTTCCCTGTACTTGTCTTCGTCCCCAAGCCTCTTTCACTCGTTTATCCTGATCACACATGCCCCGTGTATCATATCACTTATTAGCTCCTGTCCAGGTTGAAGTGCAAGGTGATTATTTATAGGCTCCAGAAGTCATGTGAGAAGTCACCCTGGGACAAACCTCCCCTTGCTTTTAAAATAAAAATAACGTGGCCTGCCCTGTAGCTCCAACCACAAGCCTCAGCAATGGCACGATCGGCCGATTCAGAAGCACAGAAGCAATTGTGACCATGTTAGACTAGGCCAAGTCCAAAAAGGCTAGAAGCCTGGCACTCTGACAAATAAGCCATCAATAGACACATAGACATGAACAACTTCTGTAGACTATGCAAAAGAGACAATCAACCAGCCCAAAAGAAGACAAAAAGACTCCGGCACCTCTCCACCAGCAATCAGCACCCAGATCAGCCTACATCAGTGATGGCTAACCTTTTTGACATCGCGTGCCAGGAGCGGGGACAGCGCAGGGAAGGGGTGCACGCGTGTGCCCACACCCATAATTCTATGCACTCTGCCCCCACGTGACACACACACACCGCTCCTGGCACGCAATGGCCCAGTGAGCCCATTTTTCTCTCTCCCCAGGCTCCAGGGCCTTTCTAGGTGGGACCAGAAGTTGGCAAACGGGCCATTTTCGGCCTCCGGGGAGCCTCGGGGGGGGTCGTTTTCACCCTCCTAGAAAGGCTCTGGAGCCTGGAGAGAGAGAAAAACACACACCCCCCGAGGTCCTCCAGAGGCAGGAAACACCCTGTTTCCCTACTTCTGGTGGGCCCAGAAGGCCTGAAATCTGAGCTCACGTGCCCACCGATATAGCTGTTTTCCTGCCTAAGGTGGGACTACAACTCACTGTCTCCTGGTGATTGGCCCAAAGTCACGCGGTTGGCTTTCATATTAAGGTGAAACTAGAACTTTCCATCTCCCACTTTTTAGCCTGGTGACTTAACCACTAGACCAAACTAGACAAAACCACTAGATCAAACTTATTTAAATTATTCATAACCTAATAATTCATTATTGCTTCGAATATAATGAAATATGAGACATTTACAGTATTCATTCAAAATACAGGTTAACAAGATAAATAGTTATATAAATGTATTATTAGTACATACAGTATGTTCTTGAATAGTAATTGCAGTAGATAACTATATAAAGAATTGTAACTATTTACAGCTAAAGTGATATATTGTACCTTTTTTGTATTTTTTCACTTTTTTTTTTATCAACGTGTTCTGTGTGGGCTTTTTTTTTGCTTCCTTTTTTCTTTTTTGACAATGAAGGAATTTTATCTTTGTGTGTGAGGGATGGTTCTGTTTCTCTGTCATTATTATAAAAGCAAAAAAAAAAAAAGTACTATTTTTAAAATAATTTTCTGAGTAGATGCGTACAGATGTTGCTTCGGGTACCAAAAACCTGTACTTTCAAAGCTGGCTTTGCTCATTAATACAATGTGCAAAATAAAAGTGTCCACAGGACTGCAAATACAGGTAATCCTCGACCACTTCTTTAGTGACTGTACAAAGTGACAATGGCACTGAAAAATATTTATTTATTTATTTATTTATTTGTTTGTTTGTTTGTTTGTTTGTTTCTCCACGAGGACTCAGGGCAGCTCACAGCAACAAGAAGTCCAGATTAAAATACAAACAATAAAAGAAACTAAAATTCCCATTAAAACCCCATTCAGTCCAGGCCAGCCTGGCGAAACAACCATGTTTTAAGGTCACGGCGGAAAGAGCGAAGGTCGGGGGCCACCCGGAGCTCCAAGGGGAGCTGATTCCAGAGGGTAGGTGCGCCTACAGAGAAGGCTCGCTCTCTAGGGGCCGTCAGCCGACATTGCTTGGCCGATAGAACCCCATGAAGGCCCTCTCTGTGTGAGCGCACCGGGCGATGGGGAGCTGTTGCTGGCTGCAGGTGATCCGCCAGATACCCCGAGCCTAGGCCATGTAGGGCTTAATAGGTAATCACCAACACCTTGAACCTCACCCAGAGGGCAACCGGTAGCCAATGCAGGTCACGCAGGAGGGGTGTGACATGGGAGCGTCGGGACACGCCCATCACTACCCGCGCGGCCGCATTCTGCACCAGCTGAAGTCTCTGAGTGGTTTTCAAGGGCAGCCCCATGTAGAGAGCGTTGCAATAGTCGATATGATGACTTATGACTATTACTCGCACTTATGACCATCACAGTGTATTCACAGTGTATCACAGCAATATTCCAGTATTTGAGAGGCTGGCACAAAGAGGATGGGGTCAGTTTATTTTCCAAAGCACCAGAAGGCAAGAAAGAATGGATGGAAACTAATCAAGGAAAGAGGCAACCTGGAATTAAGGAGGAATTTTCTGACACTGCGAACAATTAACCAGTGGAACAGCTTGCCTCCAGAAACTGTAAATGCTCTCACAGTGGAGGTTTTTAAGAAGAAATTGGACAGCCATTTGTCTGAAATGGTATAGGGCCGTGATGGCGAACCTATGGCACGCGTGCCCAAGGTGGCACACAGAGCCATTTTTCCGGGCATGCGAGCTGTCGCCCAACTCAATTGCAGCTGCATATGCATGCGTGCCCCAGCTAGTGTTCGGGCCTCCGGTGCGCATGTGTGCAATTCCTGAGACCCAGCTGGTCTTCGGAGCTCTCCTGCGCATGTGCACGAGTTTGCGCATGTGCGTGCAAGTGCCTGCACACACTTGCGCATGCACAGATGACATTCGCACATGTGCATTGCGTGCGCAAAAGCCATGCACATGTGCAGATGGTGCAATTCTGCACGCAGCGCATGGGGGGAGCCATGTGAAAGCCACACGCATGCAGATGATGCAATTATCCGTGCAGCACACGGGGGGAGCTGCGCGAAAGCCGCACGCATTCACAGATGGTGCGGTTGCAGTCATAATTGTGAAAAAAGGTCATAAGTCACTTTTTTCAGGGATGCTGTAACTTCAAACGGTCACTAAATGAACCGTTGTCAGTCAAGGACTACCTGTATTCAGTCTTTGAGGCTGAATTTCTTCTAAGGTGCATAACAGATCTTCGCTACCGTCTTCAAGTTATCCCTACAATGGTGCTTTTTAAATTGCCAGAATTTCAGACCTGCAAGCGTGCAGCTTGACCTGATTAGCATCTCTGCAGTTACCATCAAAGCTTTGACTAATC